GTTCCACCCTTTGACGTGGTGGTTCTCGATGAGACTGCCAGCATACTGGCCCACCTTTCCGCAGCGACGCTGAAACGGGGGATGTGTACTGCTAATCTTCTGTTGGAGATCGTTCAGAATGCATCACGGGTTCTGGCTATGGACGACGGATATGCCCAGCGGGAGCATGACTTCTTCCAGATGGCGGACGTCCGAGGACAGCTTATCATCAACGAGCGCTTGGCTAAGGTTGGTTGCAGATGACCTTGACTCAGTCTGATTGAAGCTTCTTGAAATAAATTGGCCATGTGAAATGCTTAACATTTAGTCTCTTGCAACACGATGCCCGTAGAGTCCAAGGGCATTAGAAAACAGATCATGCAACGTCAAGGCATCTCGTGCGCTTCACCCGCAATTTGAAGAAAGGCAAGAAACATGCCGTATAGGAGACTGGAGTTTTGATCAGAAGCAAAAAGTGGGCAGTCATTGCCAAGCTTGTGAATCAGTGCTCTATTCCATACAGGAGCAGCTCACATTCCGAATCCATCGATCGGAGTCGGACTGGCACGATATGATCATTGCCGACCTTCAGTCCGGGCTCAATGTGGTCGGGATCTTCATGTCCACCAAGGCGCTATATCGCCTTCAGGCACGCATCCTGGAGAAAGGGATCTTGTCAGAGGCGGACATAGTGGTCCATACAGCCCTCAGCAGCAGTGAGAACATGGCTCTCCTCGATGACGTCGAGACGAACTGGAAGGTGCGGTTGTTGATGTACAGCCCCACAGTGGAGGCAGCTGTCAATTTTGCCGTGCGGTGGTTTGACTGCAAGTACATATATATGTGCATGCAAAGTGCCACCGCTCGAGGCATTTGGCAAGGATCTCTGCGAGTCCGACACACGAGCAACCCAGTCGTCAACTGCTGCATCCAGTCTGGCATATCGGTGATGGTGGATGACAGAGTGGTGGTTCCCGTGGAAGAGCTCGAAATCCCCCAGAATATCAGCAACACCCAGGTGAGTATAACAAATGATACAGCTTTGATCTGGAGAACTTCGCATTATCGTCATTATGTAGAATCTTTGTCCGCTCCATATTTCATGTCTGTTAATGACTTGCTTGAGGTGAATAACCTCTTAAATCTGACGTCTTTCATTGATCACTGCAGACCATGGCGGTCACGGTGCTTACTAAAACAACCGAAGTTGAAGGGGTGGAGGCTGAGCTTGTCACGGTAGGTTAACTTGTTTCTAAGCTCAGTTGCATCCTCGACAGATGGTCCGGCGCTAGCTGGGGTTCACAGCTGTACCAGCGAAGGCAAAGCCCATGAGCGAAGCGATGATGTTGGTTCTGACTGGCCAAAGACCTGCTCTAGATTTTGCATAACGAAGCACATTTGAAAGACTTGATCACAATGGAACCGCTGAAATCCTATCGTTCATTCTTGCAGAAGGCAAAGAAGGCGCCCGGCGAGTTCGTTTCGCCTCGACGGATTACAGTCGAAGAGACATCCGCATACCTCCGTTGTTGCAACGTGGAACAGGCGCGGTCGTTCCGAGATGAACGAGTCTCTGTGCGGGACGAGAACAATCCGCTCTTACCAAGCAGGGTGGTTCACATCAAGGAGGACGGGCCTCTTTTCCGGACCCTAACCCACACCGAAGCAGAGCGACGGAACTCAAACGAACGCTTCCTTCACGAGTTCAAGCTTCAGATTGACAAGGCGGGGCACATCCTGGAGGTGGCCCCGTTTGTACCCACGCCGGTGGGAAAGAAGCAGAGACCTGATGCATTTGGCGAGGAGGCAAGAAGAATTTTCGGGGCAAAGGCATTGAGCGCCAAAGAGTACGCTGAGGTGAAGCAGCTCCGGGATGTGAAGCGGGATGTAGGCAATGAGAATGTCGAGGCATTGAGGTACGAGCTATGCAACTTCTACGGCCTTGCGACGCTCGAGCCCTTCTTCTGGGGCACAGTGCAAGACGCCATCAAGCCGCCGTTCATGGAGGAGCTTCCCATGCTCCTCAAGGTCCTCATTCCAGACGAGAACCTGAATGGAGAAGGGATGGGCGTCACAATGAACGACAAGCCAATGGCGGAGTTCGTGCGAGAAGTGCTCAAGGCCCTTGGTCTCGCCCACCCCTTCGACTTGACTCCGACCCGCTCCTTCATCTCGGGCGGGCTCAAGAAAGCCCTTTTGGAGACCGCCTTGTTCAAGGGGTATAGAAGTCGGTCTCAACGTGGAGCATCGATGGCGGAGAGGACGCCCTCGGAAATGTCCGGGGGGGTGCGTCTGAAGTTTAAAGTCGGCTGCACCGAGTGGTCGCCCGGAGAGCTGAAAGGCGCTTTGAATGTGATGATGGGAGCAACCGGGCTCGAGTTTGAGCCACTGATCGAGGTATCTCGGCCGAGACGTGGGACCAACAAGTCGGGTGCAGGGCAAGCGGACTACCGACTCCGCTTGGATGCCGAGAAGGTGCACAAGATGGCGATGCTGGCAAAGCTTCAATTCAGACAGGTGACCGACTGGTGGCAATTCATCAAGAAGCTAAGCCCGGTCGCTCGAGAGTACCTAGATTCTTTGGATGCCAGCATCTTCGACCCCTTGCTGGAGAGGCCTTCCGGCTTCCCGCTCCTCGCGGATCTCCCCGAGCCTGGTTCCCCCGAGCCTCATGTGCCAGTGGAGGAGGTCTGCCTGATCACGATTCCACCTTAGTAATTCATGACGTGCCCCATCGCGAGGGGGCGGTCCCGCGACCCTGGTAAGTCATTTGGCGCTTTTTATCGATCCCGTCCTGGTATATGGTAGTGGCATATGCAGCTTGTAAACTCTATTCTGGGTCAGGCAAGGTACATGCACGAAGTTACCCGCAGTACCAGGATGATGTTGGTTTTCTCTGTAGACCATTCATGCACCATCCTGGTACAAGCTCAGAATGGTTGAAGTGTCCGACGCGACGGCTGGCGCTGGCAGGATTCGATTTTCTTTACAAAAAGCTTGCATCATCTTGATACGCCTCTGAAATTGTTGAAATCTCCACTTGCAGCGTGCAGCACGAGCACACCAACTATCGTACCATGAGCGCTTTGAGTAGGAGATTGCAGGTTTGGGAAACCCAGAGGGCGACCTTCGAACTGACTGTCTTCTAGCTAACGCTCTTGTACCTTGAGCGCTTCGAGTAGGAGATTGCAGGTTTAGGAAACCTGAAGGGTGACCTTCGAACTGACTGTCTTCTAGCTAACGCTCTTGTACCTTGCGCGCTTCGAGTAGGAGATTGCAGGTTTAGGAAACCAAAAGGGTGACCTTCGAACTGACTGTCTTCTAGCTAACGCTCAAATGAGACTCAGAGACGATTGATAAATAGGAATGACTCGGTGTACATAATAAGTCAATGTAAGCTTGTGCAAAGAAGCATCTTCGACCCTGTTGAAATGCATGAGTAATTTGAAGTCCTTATTGTCGTGCTTGGACACTTCATTTTTCATGATCCGATGGCGTGCCAAACATTCATCTGATCATGTTGCTTACATGGATTGTCGAGCCTTGTAGTGTAGACCTTGAAAGTGCCTTTGTGTGCCACCAGGCGCCGCCTCGTTTTACATACGCCTAATGTAGTACATGCGGCCATGCAAAGCATACTTAATACACATCTCAAGAGGTCCAATCAGATTGAAGAGTTTTACAATCAATGCCTTGATAAATCAATAGGGCGGATCAGACGAGCATACGAAAATGAACGGTGTACACGCATGACCCTTAAGCTAGACGAAATTGCGGGGTTAAAAGGAGTATTATCGCCCCATAGTATGCACGATATGGTGAAAGTCGTACGCTTTGGGCTCGAGAAAGCCGGAGTAAGAACACATAGATGCCGTAATCCATATCATCTTCTTTTAGACTGGGGGAATGTGCTCAAGCCTAAATCCACACGCCCGCAAGTTCGGTTCGACAAACATACTAAGCTTCTACAGCATGCAACCGCAGACGGTGGGCCACAATACATTTTCAATGGAGACCGTAGTGCGGCGGTCCCGATGTTGGATGTTATGAGCAACCCTTTAAAGTGTCAGTAGACTTATGCTATGATGGCATGCACAAAGGCTTCAATGCTTTTTGATGATAAGAACACTCCAGACCATAGTGACATGAATGCGACCGTTGTACCAGGATGATGTCAGTATTCTCTATAGACAATTCATGCACCATCCTGGTACAAACTTAGAATGACTGAAGTTTCCGGCTGGTACCGGGGTTCACAGCTGTACCAGGATGATGTCAATACTGACTAGCCAAATCCATGCACCATCCTGGTACAGACTCGAATTTAACCGTTGTACCAGGATGATGTAAGTTTGTTCTATAGAGAATTCATGCACCATCCTGGTACAAGCTCAGAATGGTTGAATTGTCCGGCTGGCGCCGGGGTTCACAGCTGTAGCAGGATGATGTAAGTTTCTTCTATAGACAATTCCTGCACCATCCTGGTACAAGCTCAGAATGATTGAAGAGTCCGGTGGGGTTCGAAGCTGTACCAGGATGATGTAAGTTTCTTCTATAGACAATTCCTGCACCATCCTGGTACAAGCTCAGAATGATTGAAGAGTCCGGTGGGGTTCGAAGCTGTACCAGGATGATGTAAGTTCCCCGCTCGCGCCGGGGTGCACAGTTGTACCAGGATGATGTAAATTTTTCTTTAGACAATTCCTGCACCATCCTGGTACAAGCTCAGAATGATTGAAGAGTCCGGTGGGGTTCAAAGCTGTACCAGGATGATGTCAGTTTTCTCTTCAGAGTATTGATGCACCATCCTGGTACAACGGTCGGATTCGAGTTTGTACCTCAGCATGCTCTAAGTTTCCGGCTGCCGCCGGGGAACTCCTGCAGACCTCATTGATTCCAAAGCCCATTGGCAATCGACAGCACATTTGGAGTTTGGGCCCGGGCTCCTCGAGCCGTCTGGCATGATCGCGCGGATTTCATGGGTCTTTTTTAATCTCGGAAATTGTTATAGACATACGATTATGGCTGACATCACACAACACCGAGCTTGTGAACCTTGCACATACGCCTTGGGTTTTGATCCAAAGTCATACACGGACAAGGACCTAGAGTCGCTCCTCGAAGACTCGAACCTGTCTGAGGACGACTTGGAAGCTGAGGATCCCGTTGAAGAAGGGTCGTTTGTGATCACTCGGGTAAAACACTGCTTCGTTGAAGCCCCGACCCAAGGTGAGAACCTGCACCGATTCAAGGTCACCACCCACGATTGCAGGGGCCAGATCGAGTTGCCTGCTTACTTCTGGAACCTCAACGAAGACGCGCAAGCATGGGTGGGCGGAATCGACGTCCTAGGCTTCGGACGCTGCATCATCTCAAAGGACGTGTTGGAGGTCTCGGTCGAGGTCTCGGTGGATGGGGATTTCTCGGTGCTGATTATTGGCACTCGGCGCAACGTCGACGACTTGACTCGAATGCACTTGCGACGTCTAGGTCAAGGCACAGGCGGCGTCAAACTCTAAAGCTCGGGTCGCTTGGCTTGCTCTGACCATGATGGTGGCAGCTCCGTGCATCCAAATTCATGCATCATCCTGATATGAACTAGGGTGGTGCACGAATCTCGCCATAGCACTAATGTCATCCTGACACAACATTGAAACTCGAGTTCGTACCCGGATGGTGCATGATCTGAGGCTAGCCTAACTTACATCACCCTGGTACAGCTGTGAACCCCGGCGCGAGCCGGACACTTCAAGCATTCTGAGCTTGTACCAGGATGGTGCATGACTTGAGGCTAGCCTAACTTACATCATCCTGGTACAGCTGTGAGCTCCGGCACAAGCCGGACAATTCAACCATTCTGAGCTTGTACCAGGATGGTGCATGAATTCTCTATAGAACAAACTTACATCATCCTGGTACAACGGTGAACTTTGAGAGTCTGTACCAGGATGGTGCATACATTGTCTGAAGAAAGAACTTACATCATCCTGGTACAGCTGTGAACCCCGGCGCCAGCCGGACAATTCAACCATTCTGAGCTTGTACCAGGATGGTGCATTCATGTTCTATAGAGACAACTTACATCATCCTGGTACAGTTGTACAATTTTGAATACTATGATCACTTTAGGCCGTAGGATATTTGACCGAGAACTATGTGGGACTTTTGACATGGAAGAGTGAATCGCTTTGGATGGCGAAGTACAACAAGTATTCCAATTACGATTTGGTGTCTGACTCGAAGCTCGAGTTTGGAACAGAGTATATAACCGAAGACTCGCACAATGGCTCGGATGGGTCAACATCCAAAGATTATGGCCGCTCATCAATGGAATAACCAAGTTGTTGGCCCATCTGGATCCTGACCACTTAGCTGAAGGACTGTTCCCACCCGCAGTCCAAAATTCTGACAAGGGCCAGTCACCTATGTGGGCCCATTCACCTAAGCGCGCTTAGGTGATTCTGAATTTCTGGCCGTTTTGCCAATGAATTCCCATTGTGTACTGAAAACGATCATTTGGTTATTGCATTCATGAGCACAGTCTCGACTGGCCTGTGATATTTTTCTGGCATGCCTCAGTCAGCTATGTAGCCGAGGCGAGGCAGAGCCATGGTCACTTTTTTCGTAGCTAAGTACATAGTTGGTTACGATCATGAAAAAGGTGGATAATGTCAAGCATATCGAGGTTGAGCCGACGCCGGATGAGATTGTCAAAGCTGCATTCGACAACAATCTACGGAAAGAAAACACTCTCCGTCAGTACGTTTCGCAGACCCTGCGGTTACACACGAGTTTCTTCGAAGGGTCTGAGGAGTTGAGGGACCTCCGGTGGGTCAAGACGGATTGTGCCAAAGTGATTGACTTTCTGAAGGACGTGTATTCAGATAAACTGCCAGCTCAGCATGGGTACATCTTCACCCTCATGATAATTGCAAAGGATCACCTACGAGATATGGCTCTGTGGAAGGTGTACTTTGACAGGCACGAGGACATCAGAAAGGCAAGAGAAGCCCTTAAACCCCCCCTGCAGCAAATGACAGAGCATGAGGGAGCAAATTGGAAGACACTGGAACAGATCACAAAGAAGCGCGAGGAGCTACAGCGCCGTGTGAACAGACTCATTCTGCCTAAACAACCTGCAGACATTACGATGGAGGATCGTATCGACCTCATTCGGCACCTGATCCTATGTTTGTACGCCTATCTACCAACCTTGCGGAACGATTATTCAGACGCCCCAATCATTTTCATGAAGGACCACCGATCATCAGCGATACGAAAGCTGATGCAAGGCAACCACATCATGGAAACGGCAGAAGGACAGTTCACATTCCACCTCAGATACTTCAAGACGGACCGATCGCAGGCGGAGAAAATGTATGCATTTCCGCAGCGCATGAACAATGTAGTTGTAGACAGTCTCGTCGTATTCCCCAGGAGGTATCTGTTGAGTTGCATGAAGAAGCCAGATACCCCCATGGGCCGCAATTATTATTCGAAATTCATGGCGGCCATATGGATGGATGCAAACGTCGGTTCGAGCCTGATGCGGAAGATCTTGATCTCAAACGAGTACAAAGATGCACCATCCCTAAGAGATCGGGCTGAAAAGGCGTCATCTTGTTTGCATTCGGTGGCGGTTCAGCAGACCCATTACGAGAAAAAGTACAAGCCCGATGGGACTCCAATAGCTTGGTAGTAATCTGAGCAGCTGTGAGTCATGCTTCAATTGCCAAGTACTGGGCGACCGAATCTCCGATTTGCATTTGAGGATCAGTTTGTCCTTTACGTACCGGATATCCAGCATTGATAAGCTTCTCCAACGTTTCTGGCCGAGATTTCATGCATGCCTGATTGGTGGCGATTGAATGCTTTTGTTAGGAGTATATCCTCTCGATTGCGACTATAGTAGTCTCTGACGGTCTTCGTGTGGCGATCGGGGTGCCTTTCTCCATAATCTCGCATTGATTTACAAACAGAACACAAGCACGAGCGCAAATCGTCGCTGTACGAGTTGATACCGGATACTTGAAGAGTCATTAAGCCTCGTGGAATACATTCAGAAAAAAAGTACAATCTCCGAACGAGCGCGTTTTTCTCAAAAATAAAATGTTCGTTACCTGGTAAGGAAGATCGCATGGCATCTCAACTTTGCTCGCTGCCCACCAACGCCGGTCTCGGAGTTCGAGACGCCAGGCCCTACGGTGCTCAGTCGATCGAGGCGGTCATCGCTGGCAGACGACCTGCGGAGGATCAGAACGTTAGCCCTATCTACCAGAGAATGCGAATATCAGCGGCAATCAAAGAGCTCTCACAACAGGGGCTCTACGGCATCCCTCTGCGGATTGACATGGTCAACGGGAAGAAAAAGCCACAATTCCCGAATCGCTATGAGCATCTCATGGGTTCGGTCGAAGCCTGGACAGAACATATCGACGAAATCATTGCATCCGCCTCAGTGCATGTGAATGCAATTGCCCTGCTGTGCGGCATCTCCGACTTGTTTGTCCTTGACATAGACGCCAAGACGGTGCAAGCATCTGAAGACAATCCGAAGGCCGGGAAACGAGATGGGACCGAGCTGTGGACAGCGCTCATCGCAGAGCATGGAGATATCAACACTATGAAAGCGTCCACGGGCTCTGGGTTAGGATTGCACCTTTACTTCAGCAACCGCAAGACGTTAGGGCTTCAGCACCGAAAGAACTTCACATCGCTGAAACATTTGGATCTGACTTGGGCTATCGACGGACGGGGGGAGGATGCGTGGTTTTTGTGAGCCCAACTACATATCACGATGAGGACGGGGCTACTTACGGGTACAGCTGGCTCAACGGAGATGCGAGCTCCCCACGGAGTGCGATGCCCGAGTGGCTCACAAAATTTTTGAATGCTGCCCTCGAGCCCACTCATGCAGTCGCACAACAGACCGCGTCAATTCCTGTTTCAATCCCTCCGGAGGCAACCATCATCCACGGCGTTTCTGAAGCGGTCCAGGTGGTATCGGCCTTGTTGCAGAAGAAGCTTCCCGGGGACAGGAGTCGGTTCGTCGGTATGCGACCTATGACCAAAACCGGTTGGCATGTGATGAAGTTCAGAACGGTGGGTGTGAGGACATGTGTGAATGGTTGCAACCACACGAGCAACAATTTCAGCGTCCTGAGCAATGGGGCGATATTCCTCTACAGATGCCTAGGCGGCGAATGCATCAAGAAAGCCAAGCGGATGCTCGGAGTCTATTTTTGGCCCGACTGCCTGCCCTTAAAAATCGATGAGGACAATTCGAGAGTACTGCAAGACTGCCAAAAGTACATATGTACATCGAACGAGAAAGACTCTGAAGCAGCGGCCAAGCAGGAGGTGGCAACTTTGCTTGATATTGTAGTCAAAGTCATGAACCACTATTTCGGGGTCGTGACCGGCGCCTCCCGAATCACTTACACTGAGACACTCTTCAAACGCGATTCAGATAACAGCCTGAAACCATTCAAGAAGGTCCTCCGAAGTGGACGTGAATTTGCAGAGCGCTGTGAGACTCTCGGTCTATCCAAGGTGCCAGGGCGATTCAAGAACGCTGGAGCCTATTGGCGATCTTCGTCGGCAAGGCGACAGTATGATAAAGTCGTATTCTACCCCAGTCTGAATGAAGGTAACCCCAAGCATTTCAACCTGTTCAACGGCCTCAAGTTCGAACCCTTGAAATCGAAGCTTACCGAGGAAGGGATGCGAGAATGCGAAGCAAAGATACCTAGACTCCTGTGGCACATCCGGAACATCCTCGCAAATGGGTGTGAGCAGTCTTACAGATATCTGATCTGCTGGCTTGCGCATGTGATTCAGAAGCCACACAAGAAAACCGGGGTGGCCCTGGTGATAAGATCAAAGCAAGGCAGTGGGAAGAGCGCGCTCTTCGACTTTTTCGGGATCATGATCCTCGGCATCGACCTCTACCTATACTGCCAGGATCTCGAAAATGTCATTGGGTCATTCAACGCAGTGGCCGCAAACAAGTTGCTAACCGTCTTCGATGAAGTGAACAGTTGGGGTGGGGCATACAAGTCGAACAACAGGCTGAAGAGTATGATCACGCAATCCCAGGGCGTTCTGAATAGGAAGGGCGTGGACGCGATTCAGGTGGACGACTTTCAGAACATTGCATTCACGACGAACGAGTATTGGCCCATAAAAAAGGAGGCCGACGATAGACGCTACTTTGCGATGGAGAGTTCAGACAAGATGATTCGGAACAAAGCATACTTCAAAGCTCTGTTCCACGAATTGAACGATGTGGAAACTCCGTACGTGTTTTATCAATACCTATCATCCATCGACATCTCCGAGTGGGATCCCCAGGACATTCCGCAGACCGCTTGGGGAGAGCGCCTCAAGGGCCACTCAGTCTCCACATCCGTGAAGATGATCCAAGGTCTGTTGGAGAGCGGATGCTTTCACCCGTATCGAGAGACATGGGTGGCATCTGCTGACATCATGTTGACTTTCGAGTCATTCCTGGACAGTCATCGGATCAAAGATGATAGAAAGCTCGACAAGATAGGCTCACTTAGAGACGTCTTTGGTTTGAGGGACGGTTCGAGGTCGGTCAACGGCATACTAGCAACACGAGGCTGGTGGTTTCCGAGCGAGCCTATGATATGCAAAGTGCTGACGAAAGAGAACATGTGGTCTGAAGTCGATTGGTATGGGCAATGGGAGCGCTCGTTTGGCCACACCGTAGATGCAGCTGGCCCATGGATGAGCTTCATGAGTACCAACTTGAAAATCAGGGCCGCCGAGATCGAAAGGGACGCGAAGATCCAGGGTTCCGCACGGGTGTGTACCACTTGCCACAAGAGTCACGTGGTGAGGGTGGTGAGTGAGGCCGAATTGCCACCCGAATCCCCCGCCAATGTCGCCTCTCCCCTGTAATACACTAATACACTAAGATATATATTACTGTATTAGTACTACCTCCCCCTCCCACCCACGTGACTATACACGAACGCAAAGCTTAATACGGCAATACGGCAATACAGCAGCTTTCAAGTGGTAGCCAAACACATGCCATTAATACTATAAAGGAGTTGAGGCCACCGTATTACGTATCGCTGTTTCAAGCTTCCAGGCTCGTCTCTCACGAGCGCCTATCTATGATCGAGTCTCTGAGCCAATTGCTACCCCCTGACCTGTCAATAAATACCGCATGCTTGCTGCGCTCGAAGAGCGTGTCAAGGATGGTGGCCACCCTCATCAAGAACCTCCGGATGCTGGTGATCTGCTGTAGACTCGCCGCGGACTGCTTCAGGCCCTTGTTAATCCCCTCGGCAGCCGTCGTGGTCGTGTTCTTGTGCACTGGGTAGGAGTCGATAAATAGCATGGGGGAGCATGTGTGCGTCGCATAGCGCTTGGCAGCGCCAG